TGTCTTCACAGAGATAACGTTGCTGTGTTTCAGCAAGCAGCACATCGAGCTGATGAAGGCCACTGCAGAGATGAAGCCTCGAGACCTCCAGAGACTGGGAGACGAGTTTAACTCCATCTTCATCAACAACCAGAGCTTCCAATGCGCCCAGCTTGCAGCAGGAAGCTGCTTCAATGCTGTGGACAGCATCCTGAGTGGACAGGTGTAGACACCACTAAGTTGCCTCAGGACCTGTTAGCGTGGACACTTTCACATTCACATAGATGAGGAAACCCCACGTGACAAACCAATCCACTCCGAGTGGTTGTAGGGTGCAACCGAGCCAGTGCGCAACATTAGAATTCATCCAGACACCTGGGATGCTAATGACAGGTGGGAGCGGGCTAAAAGCAAGTAGCAAGAGACCACGACAGATAAACACAAGCGTCAGTAGCGGTAACTGGCCACTAGCGTTGAACAACAAGCTAACTGCACGTTGCAACGGGCTTACTGCGGGCTTTGGTCGCCCCGTGATGACCGTGTTCTTTACCTGCAGGTGAGTAACGGAGTGGCCATCGTACGTCCTCCCGGTCATCATGCTGAGAGAGACGTACCCTGTGGATTCTGTCTCTTCAACACCGCGGCTCTGGCTGCGCGCCACGCCCAAAATGTCATTCGCCATTCTCGGTTGCGAGTCTTGATCCTCGACTGGGATGTTCACCATGGCAACGGGACTCAGCATATGTTTGAAGAGGATGACAGGTGAGGAAAAGGCGTCGGTTCTCAGCAGTGATCTGATTCTGATTCTGTTTTTGTCTTCAGCGTCCTGTACGTCTCCCTCCATCGCTATGACAACGGCATGTTCTACCCATCTTCAGAGGACGGCGCTCCTAACAAAGTGGGAGTGGCCAAAGGGGTGGGATTTAATGTGAACGTGGCTTGGAGCGGAGGAAGAATGGGCGACTCGGACTACCTCGCTGCCTTTCACCATGTTGTCATGCCGATTGCCCGAGAGGTAAGCCAGTACTCCCAGTACTCCCAGATCAGTCCATCCCAGCTAAAGGAGCCGTCTGATTGGTCCGTTTCCTTCTGCAGTTCAACCCTGATTTGGTTCTGGTGTCTGCTGGGTTTGATGCAGCTCGGGGGGATCCGTTGGGTGGATATAATGTGACTCCTGCAGGATACGCACACCTCACACACATGCTGATGTCACTGGCTGGGGGGCGTGTCCTACTCATCCTGGAGGTACGCTCTGACGTTAATCACCCTTGTACCTTCTCGGATTTCGCTTTTCCAGGTCTGAGTAATGAGGGCAGCAGCCTGGCGGTCCTGGGTTTACCCGGGGAACACGTCCAGAGCACCTCCCCCAGGAGGCGTTTCGACCAAATACCTGAACCACCTCCTCTTTACAGATGTCTAAGCTCCTCCCCCAATCCCATAAGTTGCTCCAGTAAAAACTGTCAAAGGGTTCCGTTTGATGGTGTGTGTTCAAACTGCTTACATTTACAAAGGGTGTCCCCCAGGGGTCCGTTTTGGGTCACATTGTATTTGGTTGTTTTTTTATGACTTGTGTCGAAACGACTGATGCAAATTTCCAATTTTTATGTGGATGACCCGGTTTCGTGTGGTTCTGTCTCATCCTTAGCAAGAGCGGAAGAACTCCACAGCTTTTCTAGATCACAGAACAGGACGACAGATCGTTCCATCTAGTGAGAACACATCAGGTTTCTTCCTCAGGCTGTCGGTCCTTCCTTCCAGTTGGCCTTTATTGTGTTTCCTTTTCTTTGGACCTGCTTTAGCTGTCTCGCCCGGACAAATCTAAACAAAAAACTAGACGCTTGATTGGCTGAAGTCAAACAGCTGTGTTCCTGACTGGCTGAGGTGTTTGTCTCCACAGGGGGGTTATAATCTAACCTCCATCTCTGACTCCATGGCGATGTGCACCAGCGTGTTGCTAGGCGACCCACCACCATCCTTGTCCATGCCCCTTCCCCCTCCGCATTACGGTGCTGTGAAAACAATCGTTGAGGTAATCCAGAACCACGCCCCCTACTGGAAGTCTCTGAGGATTCACGGTTAGTAGGACTGCGTGCTCCACAGCCGGGTTCTGGTTCTGGTCCGATCTCATTTTTCCTTTCCTTGTCTTTCAGTTCCAGAGTCAGTGCTGATGTCCCTGTCCTCCCCAGAGCATCGTGGGAAACGTAGTTCTAAAGGAAAAGGCAGAAAGTCTGACCAACTGCCACCTCCTCCTGAAACAGAGGTTTCTACGGTAACAACTATCAGAGCACCTCACTTCCTGCCAAAGTAAGTCGAAAGCCTCACGATGTGTCTCGTCCAATCAGACGGCACACGATCTGGAGCAGCTTGCACAGGGATTGGCTGATCTAGACATCAGTCAAGCTTCAGCCAGTCAGCCGCCTCCTGTTACGTCCACCCCAGTTGGAGGAGCAAGGACGAAGGTCCGTCTGAGTTCAGAGGTCAAAGGTCTTAAAAAGGTGGAGTCAGAGGTCAGCCCAGCAACAGAGAGTGTGCTGGCTCAGGTGAGTCACTAACACACCTGTCACGTGTCCACCTGAGGGAATGTGACGACTTCCTGTTTGCTTCACAGAGCATTGCTGGAGCAGAGGCGGAGCTTGAGGCAGCAGGCGCATGTGGTTATTCAAAGCCCGAGGTGTCTCTGGAACTGACCTGTGGTGCTGAGGTGGGCGGAGTCAGGAAACTTTAGATTACCTGTTATTGTTCACCTGAATGAGCGCTCAGGTGTGACCTCTGACCTGTGTCTGTCTGTCCCTAGACCACTCTTTATTGTGTCAACCCCCTGACCTGGTGTCCTCACCTGGATGCTGTTAAGCCCCTCCCCCCCTCAGGTGTAGACATCTTTGCTCAGTGTGAGGACTGCAGCTCGGATTCTGAGAACTGGATCTGTCTCACCTGCTACCAGGTGACCTGCTTGACTTGTCCACCACAGGTACAAAGAACGTGCTGAATTATGTCTCACCTGTTGGTTCTGCTGTGTCCAATCTCAGGTGTACTGTGGCCGCTACGTCAACGAGCACATGGTGGTTCACGGCACCGCGTCGGAACATCCCATGGTGCTCAGCTTGTCGGACCTGTCTGTGTGGTGCTACCTGTGCGAGTCCTATGTCTACAACCAGGTGAGCGTGTGTGTGTGTGTGTGTGTGTGTGTGTGTGTGTCAGATCTGACGATTAGAACATTCAAACACGTTCTGTTTGGGTCTGATCAGGTTCTGTTTGAAGCCAGAAACGCAGCTCACTTTGCCAAGTTTGGAGAGGAGGTCCCTCCACAGAGCTGAGAGGAGGCTGCAGGAGGAGGAGGAGCTGTCCTGTATTGGGTTGCCGTGGATACCAGCACACTGGTGCTCAGTGGAACAGTCAACAGTTTTTTTTACTGCATATTTTCATCATAGGCAGATTGTTGCTTCGGTTCTCCTGGAATTGTTACTTTTATTCTGTTTTAACTATTAGCTTTTATTTTGAAAATTCTTCTCACAAACAGTAGGACACAAATACAGGAAGCAGCAGATCGAACAAATGTCCACGGCTGTTCAGTAAATAAAGCATTTAAGTTTGTTTTAGGTGAAATCTGTAACTTTGTTCTTAAATCTGTAACTTCTGCAACAATAAACCAATCAGAAGGGATCTGTGGGTCTTCTAGTGACTAAAGTTGAAATGCTTTTATCGATCAGTCATTCACGCAGGTTTAGCAGAATTCTGTTGCTAAAGATCTTTTTTCTATTGATCAGACCCCGTTGGTCAGATAATCGATCAAACTCGACCAATTACTCGTTTTAAGTCCGTTTAACGATCGGCTTTTCCTGATTGAGAAGAGAATCCTGTGACATCGGGTAATTTAGTTGGATGACTGATGGACTCGTCCTGTGGGCTTGGTGTGTCTTAAGGCATTATGGGTAATGTAGTAAAACATCCTGCAGAACTTGTCCAGGTCTTCCGGTGAGTTCCAGCAGAGCAGACAGAACCTGAAGGAACCGAAATGGCATTTTTATCCAGAGGAGGAATAATCCGATAAAGGCTGCCAATCTGGATTAGCACGTGTTCCGGGTCCTACCCATGCCAGGTTGTGCGTAAACACCCGCTCCTGCAGTCCCTTGGCTCTCCTGTAGGCGGCGCGTTTTCGCCCCTTTTATGGAGACGAGCTGACGACGTCAGATTTCGCGGTTCATGTCCTACTCGTTTTGGTTGGACGCTGGAAGCTCACATCCGGGTACTGGCGATTCACCCCTCCTCCCCGCAGCATCCTCTCGTCCTGCAGACAGACGGAGCTGCAGCTCCTGCTCCTTCTCCTTCTCCTGGCCCTCCTGCTGCTCCTCCTGCTGCAGGTTTGATGATGTTTTTCTGCTTCTTGGTGCACATCAGCTCTTCTCGTGCGTGTCGGTAAATCTCGGAGATGCTGTGCTCTGATTGGCTACCGGCTGATGCAGTGCTGCTCTGATTGGTTTGTTTTCTTCTGCTGGTTTATAAATCTGATTTTTGACAGAGAGGCTGCATGGTGTGCAGTGGTGATGCTGGGAGGTCTGCGCCTACGTGGGTTCTCTCCGGGTTCTCCGGCTTCCTCCCACAGTCCAAAAACTTGACTGTTGGGTTGGCTGATTTCTAAAATTGTTCTTAGGTGTGTGTGTGTGTGTGTGTGTGTGTGTGTGTGTGTGTGTGTGTGTGTGTGTGTGTGTGTGTGTGTGTGTGTGTGTGTGTGTGTGTGTGTGTGTGCGCGCTTGGTTGTTTGTCCTGTGTGTCTTTGTGTTGCTCCTCCTGATTGGCCGGAGGCTGCTGGAGAAAGGCACCAGTTCCCCCACGACCCTGCGTGGAAGCAGGTTCAGAAGATGGATGGATGGATGGATTTATGACCGAAACTTTCAACCTGGGTTCTCGTCTCTGATTGGCTGATCGTGTTGAGACAGCACCAACTGATGCTTCAGGTGTTTGTTTCCTGCTGATGCTTTAACCACCTCAGTCCTGATGGAACCAGGAGGCTGGCTGTTTCTGCTGGATCTGGTTCGGACCGGTTCAACAGACATGTTCCTGTGGATCCAGCCCCTGTGTGACCCAGTTGGTCTCGAGGTCCTGGTTCGGTCCAGTTAGGTGACATGGGTGGATCAGGATCCCTTGGAAGGTCTTTGTTGGCTCAAATGGACTCGTGTTCCTCTCCATCTCTGATCCAGGTCCAGATTCAGGTCCAGACGGTGAACTGTTCTACGGGCTCTAGTTCTTCTGGACTCTATTGGGTTCCTCTCCAGAAACCTGTCTGTTTTTGAAATTCCCACAGACAAGTGGTCTCTGTCCAGTCAGGTCTGTCCTGCAGGTCCATGATGGAGTAACCTGGACTTCCCAGAAACCTAAAATAGACTAGGATAAACTTTTCCTGTCTCTGTCTCAGGGATGTCCACGTCTCCGAGTCTCGCTGACCTCTCTCGGCTCTACCAGACGGAGTTTGTCCGGAGTGCCCGAGCAGTCGGAGCTCTGTGGGCCGTCTGTTCGCTCTGCTTCGCCGTCATCCAGGTAGTCATCCTGGTCCAGCCGTCCTGGATCGGCACCACCAACGCCAGAACCCAGCCGGGAGGTCAACAGCTGCCCAGTGGAACCATGGGACTGTTTGAGGCAAGAAAACACACACACACACACACACACACACACACACACACACACACACACACACACACACATGGGTGTGTCCCTACATGTTTGTCCTCTCTCACCTGCTGTCAGGTGTGTTTGGAGTCGGACTGGCCAGTCCCTGATTGTCGTGGAGGCTTGTCCAGTCTCTCTCCGTTGCCGTCCTTCCAGTCTGTGGCGGTGCTGGTGGGCGTGTCCCTGTGGGCCGTGTGGACAAGCGTCCTCTGTCTCTGTCTCTTCAGGTTCTGTGGTGCTGCAACCGTCTACAAGATCTGCGCCTGGCTGCAGCTGACAGCAGGTCAGGTGGCGTGTGTGTGTGTGTGTGTGTGTGTGTGTGTGTGTGTGTGTGTGTGTGTGTGTGTGTGTGTGTGTGTGTGTTCTGCAGTTGTTGTCTCGGTTTTCTGAAGTCCGACTGTGCCTGCAGGCTTTTGTTTGGCCTTGGCGTGTCTCCTGTTCCCAGACTCGTGGGAGAGTCCAGAGATGAGGACACTGTGCGGAGACTCGGTGAGGACATCCGTCCCTCTGTTTGATAGAACAGGACGTCTCGCCGTCAGCTGCTCTCTCACTAATCCCATCGTCTTCTGTCCTTTTGGACTCTTGTCTCTCTCCAGGTGAGCAGCTTCTCTCCAGGTAACTGCTCTGTCCACTGGGCCTACATCCTGGCTCTCCTCGGGGTTCTGGACTACGCCATCTTGGCCACGCTGGCCTTTGTTCTGGCCAACAGACAGGACGCCCTGCTACCCCCTGATTCCCAGGAAGGTGAGACGGGGTCATAGGTGCGGGAGCAGGAGGAGAGGAAGGTTGATGACGATCTTTCATGTCTTTGATGTCTTTTAGTGACTGCAGGTCTTCTGATGACGGCGTGACTCCACAGGTGGGACTCCTTTTCTTCTTCTTCTGAATCTTCTCTTTTTCATGAACGTTTCTAACGACTGCTTCACCGTCCTCCTCAGGACTCGGGTTTCGACTCCACGTTATCCTGAGCTGGATCCTGCTTCTGTTTGTCTGCATGATGGTACAGTCGGACCACGAACCAGGAGGCAGATTCAGTCTCCAGGATCCGGATCTGCTGGAAGACCTGATCAGGATCTTCTGCCTTTCTTTTTGTCTGGTTCTGTTGAACAGCCCGAGGGTAGGAAGCATCATCCGTCCGTCTTCGGTGCTTCTCATCCCCCACTGTCATTGGGCGGGGGCGGGGCTAAAGTTGTACCGAACCTGTTATAAACCTTTTTGTTGTTGTTTGTTCGTGAGAATTAAACAAACCCTAAACTTAATGTTAGGAACTCATTTCTTGTGTTTCCATAGAAACGGAACCCTGAAGTCATTTTTATTATTATGGTTAAAGTTTTGGTAAGAACACCTTAAATCTACACAGAACCCTTCGGCCCGTAGACCAGAACCCTTCAGCCCGTACACCAGAACCCTACGTTCCGTAGATCAGAACCCTTCAGCCCGTAGACCAGAACCCTTCAGCCCGTACACCAGAACCCTACGTTCCATAGACCAGAACCCTTCAGCCCGTAGACCAGAACCCTTCGGCCCGTAGACCAGAACCCTACGTTCCGTAGACCAGAACCCTTCAGCCCGTAGACCAGAACCCTTCAGCCCGTACACCAGAACCCTACGTTCCATAGACCAGAACCCTTCAGCCCGTAGACCAGAACCCTTCGGCCCGTAGACCAGAACCCTTCGGCCCGTAGACCAGAACCCTACGGCCCGTAGACCAGAACCCTACGTTCCGTAGACCAGAACCCTTCAGCCCGTAGACCAGAACCCTTCGGCCCGTAGACCAGAACCCTTCAGCCCGTACACCAGAACCCTTCAGCCCGTAGACCAGAACCCTTCAGCCCGTAGACCAGAACCCTTCGGCCCGTAGACCAGAACCCTACGGCCCGTAGACCAGAACCCTTCGGCCCGTAGACCAGAACCCTTCGGCCTGTAGACCAGAACCCTTCAGCCCGTAGACCAGAACCCTACGTTCCGTAGACCAGAACCCTTCGGCCCGTAGACCAGAACCCTTCGGCCCGTAGACCAGAACCCTTCGGCCCGTAGACCAGAACCCTTCAGCCCGTAGACCAGAACCCTTCAGCCCGTACACCAGAACCCTACGTTCCATAGACCAGAACCCTTCGGCCCGTAGACCAGAACCCTTCAGCCCGTAGACTAGAACCCTACGTTCCGTAGACCAGAACCCTTCGGCCCGTAGACCAGAACCCTACGGCCCGTAGACCAGAATCCTACGTTCCGTAGACCAGAACCCTTCGGCCCGTAGACCAGAACCCTTCGGCCCGTAGACCAGAAGCCTTCAGCCCGTAGACCAGAACCCTTCAGCCCGTAGACCAGAACCCTTCAGCCCGTACACCAGAACCCTACGTTCCATAGACCAGAACCCTTCGGCCCGTAGACCAGAACCCTTCAGCCCGTAGACCAGAACCCTTCAGCCCGTACACCAGAACCCTACGTTCCATAGAACAGAACCCTTCGGCCCGTAGACCAGAACCCTTCGGCCCGTAGACCAGAACCCTTCGGCCCGTAGACCAGAACCCTTCGGCCCGTAGATCAGACCTAACGGCCTGTAGATCAGAACCCTTCAGCCCGTAGACCAGAACCCTACGGCCCGTAGACCAGAACCCTTCAGCCCGTAGACCAGAACCCTTCAGCCCGTACACCAGAACCCTACGTTCCATAGAACAGAACCCTTCGGCCCGTAGACCAGAACCCTTCGGCCTGTAGACCAGAACCCTTCGGCCCGTAGATCAGACCTAACGGCCTGTAGATCAGAACCCTTCAGCCCGTAGACCAGAACCCTACGGCCCGTAGACCAGAACCCTTCGGCCCGTAGACCAGAACCCTTCAGCCCGTAGACCAGAACCCTTCAGCCCGTAGACCAGAACCCTTCAGCCCGTACACCAGAACCCTACGGCCCGTAGACCAGAATCCTACGTTCCGTAGACCAGAACCCTTCGGCCCGTAGACCAGAACCCTTCGGCCCGTAGACCAGAACCCTTCGGCCCGTAGACCAGAACCCTTCAGCCCGTAGACCAGAACCCTTCAGCCCGTAGAACAGAACCCTTCGGCCCGTAGACCAGAACCCTTCGGCCCGTAGACCAGAACCCTTCAGCCCGTAGACCAGAACCCTTCAGCCCGTAGACCAGAACCCTTCAGCCCGTACACCAGAACCCTACGTTCCATAGAACAGAACCCTTCGGCCCGTAGACCAGAACCCTTCGGCCCGTAGACCAGAACCCTTCGGCCTGTAGACCAGAACCCTTCAGCCCGTACACCAGAACCCTACGTTCCATAGAACAGAACCCTTCGGCCCGTAGACCAGAACCCTTCAGCCCGTAGACCAGAACCCTACTTTCCATAGAACAGAACCCTTCGGCCCATAGACCAGAACCCTTCGGCCCGTAGACCAGAACCCTTCGGCCCGTAGACCAGAACCCTTCAGCCCGTAGACCAGAACCCTTCAGCCCGTACACCAGAACCCTTCGGCCCGTAGATCAGAACCCTTCGGCCTGTAGACCAGAACCCTTCAGCCCGTAGACCAGAACCCTACGGCCCGTAGACCAGAACCCTTCGGCCTGTAGACCAGAACCCTTCGGCCTGTAGACCAGAACCCTTCGGCCCGTAGATCAGACCTAACGGCCTGTAGATCAGAACCCTTCGGCCTGTAGACCAGAACCCTTCAGCCCGTAGACCAGAACCCTACGGCCCGTAGACCAGAACCCTTCGGCCTGTAGATCAGAACCCTTCAGCCCGTAGACCAGAACCCTTCGGCCTGTAGACCAGAACCCTTCAGCCCGTAGACCAGAACCCTTCGGCCCGTAGACCAGAACCCTTCGGCCTGTAGACCAGAACCCTTCAGCCCGTAGACCAGAACCCTTCAGCCCGTACACCAGAACCCTTCAGCCCGTAGACCAGAACCCTTCAGCCCGTAGATCAGAACCCTTCGGCCTGTAGACCAGAACCCTTCAGCCCGTAGACCAGAACCCTTCAGCCCGTAGACCAGAACCCTACGGCCCGTAGACCAGAACCCTTCGGCCTGTAGACCAGAACCCTTCAGCCCGTAGACCAGAACCCTTCAGCCCGTAGACCAGAACCCTTCAGCCCGTAGACCAGAACCCTACGTTCCGTAGATCAGAACCCTTCAGCCCGTAGACCAGAACCCTTCAGCCCGTAGACCAGAACCCTACGGCCCGTAGACCAGAACCCTACGTTCCGTAGATCAGAACCCTTCGGCCCATAGACCAGAACCCTTCGGCCCGTAGACCAGAACCCTTCGGCCCGTAGACCAGAACCCTTCGGCCCGTAGACCAGAACCCTTCAGCCCGTAGACCAGAACCCTTCGGCCCGTAGACCAGAACCCTACGTTCCGTAGATCAGAACCCTTCGGCCCATAGACCAGAACCCTTCGGCCCGTAGACCAGAACCCTTCGGCCCGTAGACCAGAACCCTTCGTCCCGTAGACCAGAACCCTTCAGCCCGTAGACCAGAACCCTTCGGCCCGTAGACCAGAACCCTTCGGCCCGTAGACCAGAACCCTTCGGCCCGTAGACCAGAACCCTTCGACCCGTAGACCAGAACCCTTCGGCCCGTAGACCAGAACCCTACGTTCCATAGACCAGAACCCTTCAGCCCGTAGACCAGAACCCTTCGACCCGTAGACCAGAACCCTTCGGCCCGTAGACCAGAACCCTTCGGCCCGTAGACCAGAACCCTACGTTCCGTAGACCAGAACCCTTCGGCCTGTAGACCAGAACCCTTCGGCCCGTAGACCAGAACCCTTCGACCCGTAGACCAGAACCCTTCGGCCTGTAGACCAGAACCCTTCGGCCCGTAGACCAGAACCCTTCGGCCCGTAGATCAGACCTAACGGCCTGTAGATCAGAACCCTTCGGCCCGTAGACCAGAACCCTTCGGCCCGTAGACCAGAACCCTTCGGCCCGTAGACCAGAACCCTTCGGCCCGTAGACCAGAACCCTTCGGCCCGTAGACCAGAACCCTTCGGCCCGTAGACCAGAACCCTTCGGCCCGTAGACCAGAACCCTTCAGCCCGTAGACCAGAACCCTTCAGCCCGTAGACCAGAACCCTACGTTCCGTAGACCAGAACCCTTCAGCCCGTAGACCAGAACCCTTCAGCCCGTAGACCAGAACCCTTCAGCCCGTAGACCAGAACCCTTCGGCCTGTAAACCAGAACCCTTCAGCCCGTAGACCAGAACCCTACGGCCTGTAGACCAGAACCCTACGTTCCGTAGACCAGAACCCTTCAGCCCGTAGACCAGAACCCTTCAGCCCGTAGACCAGAACCCTTCAGCCCGTAGACCAGAACCCTACGGCCTGTAGACCAGAACCCTACGTTCCGTAGACCAGAACCCTTCATCCCGTAGACCAGAACCCTTCGGCCTGTAGACCAGAACCCTTCGGCCCGTAGACCAGAACCCTATGGCCCGTAGACCAGAACCCTTCGGCCTGTAGACCAGAACCCTTCAGCCCGTAGACCAGAACCCTACGTTCCATAGACCAGAACCCTTCGGCCCGTAGACCAGAACCCTTCGGCCCGTAGATCAGACCTAACGGCCTGTAGATCAGAACCCTTCAGCCCGTAGACCAGAACCCTATGGCCCGTAGACCAGAACCCTTCGGCCTGTAGACCAGAACCCTTCAGCCCGTAGACCAGAACCCTACGTTCCATAGACCAGAACCCTTCGGCCCGTAGACCAGAACCCTTCGGCCCGTAGACCAGAACCCTTCGGCCCGTAGACCAGAACCCTTCGGCCTGTAGACCAGAACCCTTCAGCCCGTAGACCAGAACCCTTCGGCCCGTAGACCAGAACCCTTCGGCCCGTAGACCAGAACCCTTCGGCCCGTAGACCAGAACCCTTCGGCCCGTAGACCAGGGACAGATTCAGAAGACTTTTCTGGTTTTATTTGAGACACGAAGGTGGACTACAAACTGACGAGTCATCACAGCAACTAGCTGAAGAACACAAACACCAGGACAAGCCACCAATCACAGAGCTGAGAAGCAGTTGCCACGGTTACAGGTGCTGTCCATCATGTGTCCTGTTCCTATGTGGTAAGCTGGCTTTACCCAGAAGCCTCTTGGTTAACCAGGAATTTCTGTCCAGATGATGTTTTTCTGTTTGGGAGTCCTGGGGAGACATGTGGATGGAGGAGCTGGAATCAAACCAGCAACCCTCAGGTTGGTAGTCAGCCACTCTTCCTCTGAGCCACAGCCTCCCCATTAACCACAACTACCACAAGTCAGCCAATCAGAGGAGGAGGTTTCAGTTCCTGCAGAGGCTCATGGGTAATGCAGTTTTCCTTTCATCCCCTCTGATTCCTACAACAGATAAACAAACATGTCAGCTTTCACAGAAGCAGCAAAACCAAACAAACAGCACAAAGAACAAAATATACCCCCCCCCCCCCCCCCATCCCTCACTCCTTCATGTACATCAGAATCTGATCGATTAGTATTTGTGGGTCGTAGTTTAGGGCCGCTCTCCTGCGGCGCCTAAGACTCCCATGATTCAGTTCTTCCGTGTCAAAAGTTTCCATGTTGTTGATGCGTTTCATCCTCTGAAGCCCAGCAACTTGTAGGCGGAGCTTCTCCTCCTCCTCCTCCTCCTCATCTTCCACCCTTTTTACTCTGAGGAGGGGGGGGTTATTGCTCATAGACTGGAGAGGGATGTCGTCGAGGGAGCGGCGTGTCCTCCTGTGGGCGGAGCCAACAGGGTCGGCTTTTTTAACGGACAGGTCCCGCCTTGATCTGCGCCCAGAGGGCGGGGCTTCATTAGGGCCAATGCTGGTCAGTATCCTAGCAACCATCTGCCTGCAGAAGAGAAAACATGAGAAAGTTCAAAGATACTCACTCACTCACTCACTACTCACTCACTCACTACTCACTCACTCACTACTCACTCACTCACTCACTCACTCACTACTCACTCACTCACTCACTCACTCACTCACTCACTCACTGTGTGGGCAGGGCCTGAGTGACTTTTGCTTCAGCTAGCTAGTTTTTCAGTCTCCTAAATCTGGCAGCAGTAGCTCAACAGGTTGAGCGGGTTGTCCAGTAATCGGAAGGTTGCAGGTTCGATCCCGACTCCGGACAGAGAATTCTGCTGTTGTGTCCTTAGGCAAGACACTTAACCCACCTTGCCTGCTGGTGGTGGTCAGAGGGACCGGTGGCGCCTGTGCTCGGCAGCCTCGCCTCTGTCAGCGCGCCCCAGGGCAGCTGTGGCTACATCGTAGCTCATCACCACCAGCGTGTGAATGTGTGTGTGAATGAATGAATGATACACTGTAGTGTAAAGCGCTTTGGAGTCCTTACTCGGAGAGGCGCTATACAAGTGCGGGTCATTCATCATTTGTTTGGCTTCTTCCCGCGTATTAGATGGTTTACGGTAGTAGACTGGCAGTTTTACACAAACAAACCTTCACGGGGAGACGCTTTCTGACTCGTCCTCGGTGACCTGTCCCCTGGACCCGGTCCTTGGGTTAGGGTTGCTGTTGCCTCCTTGTTGAGCTGATCTAAAGCAGAAGACGGTGCCGTGTGGAGCAACGCTGGAAGAGACTTTATAATTCCACTCAGGAAACATCCTTGATCTTTTCTGTTGGGACTTGGACGTATTCCATGTGTTATTGGCCCCTAGTCGCCATATTAACCATTTAAAATGCAATAACTGGTTTTTGGGCAACTTCTATGCAGATTTTTTTTGTCTCTCGTGTGAAAAAAGCATTTTGTTATAAAGTTCTGCTAATGCAGTAGCTAACGAGGATCTGCTAATAAGCTAGTGCTCTACGGGGGAGTCTCATTTTGGCAACTTGTGTTTTTGTTCCGTTGGTCGTTACCCAAAGCTCATGACCACGAAGGTTTTGGACAAGGGCCCTTTGGTAAATTGAAAGCTTTGCTCGGCTCCCTCTCCACCCTTCCTCATCCCGGCTGCTTCACCTTCACCTGTCTTTTGCACGAGGAGAGTTATAGGTGGATGTGATTCCAAGTGGAAACACGAATGTCACTGATGAGCCGAATAGGAATTTCCCGCGTGAAGTCTCGTGTAAGGATGAAGGACATCTTTGCGGCTGCTTGATGGCCCCGTGCTCAAAGGATCTGAGATTTTGAGAAGAAGTTTGATTTCCTAATGAAATTTGGCCACCGCTGCTTAAACTTTCCTCAAGCTCCTTTTCCGCCAGAGACGTGACGCTCCGTGTCCCAAGTGCCCGTTCTCAGGGAGTTCTCGGGCTTAGACCAGCAAGCCTCTGCCCTGGTCCACCACCTGACATGACCCTATTCCACCAGAGCCTCGTGTGGCAGATGCGGATTGTGTGTCCACAGGTGGACTAGCCGTGTCACCTGTTTGGCTGGGCCCCAGGGGCCAAAGCCTGGCCATCAGGCACTCACCCACAGGTCCCAGCCCCTGGCCTAGATCTTGGTAGGTTCATGAAAGCTTTTTCACACCACTCTTCACCGCTTTCTTCTCTTAGAGCCATTTTATCTGGAGCAAAGTGCCCCAGACACCAACGCCCAAAGAGAGTCCTAATGAGTCCTGGTTCTGCTTTTCTGTCCCTCCGGATCTGAATCAGCTGCTTAAACGTGACGAGGTTCAGGTCCATTTCTGTTTCTGTGTTAAAGAAACTTCACATTTGGTCTGAAGTCTGTCGTTCAGGTGTGTTGTCTCACCTGATCATGTCCTGCTCTTGCCTCAGTCCCGATGGGAGGCGACCTGTCTCGCCAGCTCTCTGCAGCTGACTCTGGACCAGTTGCGGGTCCATCCTGAAGGTCACATGTCTCCTGTTAATGTCCACGTTTGTTCCACATCAGCCTGACGATCAGCACAGACTCACCTGTCCAGCAGCGCCTGAGCCAGCTGGGGCTCCACGAGGCTCCACCAGGCAGCAGGGGGCCTCCCCATGGTCAGACCCTGCTCTGACTCATCATAGTCAACAACGTTAGGGCCCTGGAAGTCCGCTGGAGGCTCTTGATCATCCTCTTCGTCTTCCTCCTCTACAACCTCCACGTCGGCTGGACCCACCAATCCGGTGCTCTCTGCCTCACTCAGGAGGCGGAGCAGAGCGGCCAGGTAGGCTGTGCAAAACAAGACTGGCTCATGAGGTTCTGTTGATGTTCCGACCCAAATGCTGACAGGAAACTTTGTTTGTTTTACAAAAACCTTCATTTGGAGAATGAATTCATATCAAACACATAAAATGTTTAAATATGTGTCGGGATCATTTTTGTGTGAAAATGAAAGGATTCAAACGCAGAAAAGAACTGTTTTTACCTTCTCGCTGCCCCGCCCTCTGCTCCCTCCTCTGGTCTCTCTCAACCAATCGCTGAAGAGCCTGATCAATGCCGTTCCCTCTCCACTCATTTGATTGGTAGTACGGGTCATTGGCCCCCCCTCCAGCCTGCATGGCAGGGTATGACATCATCTGGTTCTCATACGGCAGCAGGTTGCGAAGGTCCCTCCGCTGACGTCTGACTCCATCCATGGAAACCTCTAGGCCACGCCCCCCACCATGACCTGCAGGTAGAGTCTTGGACAGAAAGGTGTGAGGTCAGAGGAAGTCTAAATCGTGTCGCCGGTCAAAGTGATTAAAACCAACACAGCGGCCGGCCCGGATGTTGCAGCTTCTGCACCATAAACCTAAAGAAACTCCGTCATGGTCCGTACCCGCGTGTCCACGCAGGGTCGCGGGGCTTCTTCTGTCCCGATGAAACCAAATTACTTTGTACTGGCAACATGAAAATCAGTTCCCACGAGTGAAATAGTTGTGCTGGTTGTTTTAGAACAGAAACGTTGTTGTCCTGCTGGAAAAATCCACAAACAACCAGAAAAACACGTGCACAGCGCCCACGGCTTCAAACGTAACGCCAAAGCTGCTGCAAGTGGCTCGTTATGGTCGCCGTGGTAACCGAGCTGATCGTGATGACAGAAACACCTGTTTCAGACTTCAGAGGTCAAAGGTCACTTGGTCCGACAGGTTTATGTAGGTCGGACTGGGTTTGCATTTGTTGTCGGAGTTCTGTTGGAGATCCTCCGGCACCGTTTACATCACCAAACGCCTCGCGCGTTGGAGTTCGTAATAGCATAACTGATGCCGTCGGTAGCCTGAGAGACGTCCTGTTGCCATGGCAACATCGCAAGCTGTGACTCGTGAGCCTCATAAACTAGTAAAGAATGAAAGGCAACTGCGCGCTGCTTGGTTAGTCTGAGACATGACTCAGCACTCCGGTGTTTTTTCAACTCCAGGAGAAGCTGTGTGATGAGTCGGAACACGGTCAACCTCGGGCTTTGGGTTCTGCGGACTGGTCTGGTTCTGGGGTTCATGTTGGTTCTTTATGTCTGTCTGTGAGGAGGAGAGGAGGAGGAGGAGGTGAGGATTTGTCTGAGGAGCATCGTGGATTCGGCTGTTTCATCCGAGGTGCTGGTCAGTGTTTCTCACCCTCATCAGAACGGGATCAGGAAGGTTTTAGATGCAGGAAGGAGACGAGACCTGAAACGTTTTCGCTCTGACAGAAAATAAAGATCCGACTTAATTAAATAATAAAATAAGATTTTGTTTCCATCAGTAGTGCTCTGATGTTTCCTGGCTGGAGGTGGAGCATCAACATCATGGAGCCATAAAACTGATTTACCTCCAGAGAAACCACGTCAATGATTATCAGAGTGTTGCAGCCAGCTGGGCTCAGCAGCCTCCCTGTCCTCATAAACACACACACACACACACACACACACACACACACACACACACACACACACACGCACACGCACACGCACACACACACACACGCACACACACACACACGCACGCACGCACGCACGCACACACACACAGAGTCAGGTGACTTGTAATTTGCTGCCTTGTTGCTCTGGGGGACTGCCTTCTGTTGCCATGGTGACAGCAGATGAAATATAATGTCCCTTCAGCCACACACACACACACACACACACACTCATATTTACATTGCTATCCTTGTAAGGACCACGGACACAGAGCTAAATGGAGATGCCTCTGGCCCAAACCTTCTGGTTCTGATCTGGTTCTGACCTGCACTCAGTTTAAACAACAAACAGAGAATAGCAATCACTCAAAGCTCTGAAGTCCCAAAAGTGTTAGAAATTTAATTTAGTTTTGACAAAGAACCCGAAACATGTTAAAACATCACATCAGTAGATAAAAACTACCGGAAACAGACCAGAGAATCACACAGATGTGTGTGTGTGTGTGTGTGTGTGTGTGTGTGTGTGTGTGATGTAATGATGCTGATGAGTGGAAGAATACAGCATCGGAGTCAGGTTACCGTGACGATGCAGCATCACATCAGCTGAAACCAACATGGTGGTCGGCAGGAATCCTTACCTGAGCAGCATGAATCAGAGCAGTGGCGAGCAGCAGGAGGCCGAGAGACGCCATGCTGCAGATGGAAGCCAACGCACAGCCAGGCTGACACCGAACATCCAGGGAGGACAGGGGGAGGAGCCATGACTGTGTAGGGGCGGGGCTTGAGGGGCGGGGCTTGAGTGTGTGTGTGTGTGTGTGGGTGGTGGGGGGGGGGGGGGGGGATGATGATGAGGAGGGTAAAGGAGCTGCCAGAGGAACAGAAAAGATCAGCGCCACCTAGTGGTCCCTCTGGATCCAACACGAATGGTAGTTTCTGATTTTGGTGTCAGGGGCCCGGAGAGCGGCCGTGTCTCCATCCTGGTCCAAGGAGGACAAACTTGGACTGACCTTTAACACCTTTATGCGGTAGAAACACCACACCAATCAAATCAATAGCTTTCATGACAAAAACACTACATCAGCTCTGAATTGGGACTCAGTATCGGGCGAGTGTTTCGGTCATGTGAGCTTAAAGAAAAAAGTTGGAATTTTCCTTAAAAATGTTCATAATATTACTGCTGACTCATCAGGCCTAACTCAACCGTGACCACCGTTCATGCAACAGCATCTGGGAGCCACTGAAGTCAGAGAGGCAGCGTTTGGGTTTCTGGGACCCTGAAACGACCGTGGCTCGCATCAGAACACCAACGTACCTGCAGGTCAACGCGTCGCTCAGGAATCTGCACAGAAACGTTTTCCATCTGCCACGTCATGTGACCAGAAAGGGACAGGTGGGAAAAAAATCACAAACAAAATGTTCTCAGATCCACAACGTTTTCAGCACTTTCAGTGGTGACGTCTCACAGAGCTGGCAGCTTCCACTTCCAGGACTCCGCCCGGAACAGAAGTCCGAGTGATCCTCCTGATCCGGAAAAGCTGCATGCAGTTCTATTTTTGATTCTGACCAACTCAGATAAGAGTTAAAACGTTCATGTTTCCTGAGAACGCCTGTGAGGAGGCAGATCAGAGTCCGAGTTCTCCTAGACAGAAGATCTAGATCAGTAAACACAACCTGACTGGGACCAGTTTATCCTTTATTGTAACTTTTCACTGAAGAAACACAGCAGGGGGGCATTTCCATAGCAACAAGTCACACATCATCATCACTGTCAACACCATTGTCATGGTTACTGATGCTGAGGAAGTTACATCACAGAGGTCAAAAGGAAGGTCACACAAAAGAACGAGGAAAACAAAGCGGGAGAGAAGATCTAAGGGGAGAAGGAGGAATGGAGATAAATAAATAAAGGAAGTGGGATGAGGCTGGAAGGGGAGAGCAAACGAGCAATGATCACAGACGCGCCTGTACAAGAACCAGGAAGTACGATCACACTGATCGGTAGTTACCGAACAACACAAGAAGAGAACATGTCACCATGCGGAGGAAGGTACTAGAAACACCTCACTTAGAAAAACACAAGAAGAAGAAATGAGGAAGATGAGAACTTTTCAGTCTTCTGATTGGCCGAGAGCAGACAAACACAGCAGTCTGTCTGAAGGGTAAAGCTGGACACGTCGACACATTCAGGAGGCAGGAGGAAGACGAGGAGATGGAGAAGCTGCAGGTCCACAACTTTGTGAGTGATTCTTCATTTAGTGGCGTCCAGGTCTAGTTCTGGCCCTGGTTCTGGTCCGGTTTCATCCTTCAGACGGACCTCTCAGACACAGCGTGTTGGATCCACCCTGAGCCGCCTTGAAGCTGGGTTCACAGTGAGTCTAGGATGACATCACTTCCTGCGACGCTGGTAAACACCCAGCTCAGATTCTGTTTCAGGTTCGGATCGGACTCACATCTGGACTCAGTATGAACAGCTTCAGAGTTGTCAGGTGAGACTCGGGTTCAGGGGGAGGAGCTTAAACAGCTACTTGAGGTCAATACAAAAAAAGAAGCGAGAGTTCAGTTTATATCTTATATATATATGTGTTGAGTGACATCTATACAGCACACCGATTACATACTGGAACGACAGGATCACCACGGTAACGGACTCAGGTTCCTGCTCCTCAGGCTTCCTGTTGTTGTCTCGGTGGTTTCTTCAAGTTGTGTTTTTATTTATAATTCTCTCATTTTAGGTCATTTACACATCAGTTAACCCCTCCCCACCCCCATCCCACCCAGGAACTCTGCATACAGACAGGAGTGTTGCATTGTGGGTAGGTTGCTGGCGACCCACTGCTGGTTCACTCCGACGCTTCCTGGCAGAAAAAGGGGAAAATCAGGTGGTTCAGTTTCCAAAATAAAATCTTTAAAGGTCTAGTTGGGTCACCCACGCTGCACGTGAAAACGTTCCTTAACCCCAGTCGCCTGCATGAGCCACAGAAAGGAAACGGATGGGAAAACAAGCGAGTTGGGAAAATCCGTCTCTTCTAAATAGGAAAAATGAGTATTCATGTCTCCGCCCACTCTGGCTCGGGATCACCTGTGGGAAGGACGGAGAAGAGCGCACCTAGGCTAATGGCTAACTATTAGCAGCTGTTCACTGCAACTTAGCATTGTGACGATCCCCACGAATGTTCTGCTCTTTTAGGAGCAAATGCAATTCTTCATGCAATCCTTAAAGTGATTGTTCTTCAATTTCTCCTTCATCCTCACACTCACGATCAGATAAATAAGAATCAGGCTATGACAGCTGGCCTCACCTGCTTTCTGTCCGCTCACATCTGGTTGGAGTAGGAGGTTGGAGCCCCCTGCTGACCGTAGCCTTGACCGTACTCTGCTTCCTGGACACAACAAAACACTGAGCTATAGATGGATGGATGGGTAGGTACACATCTGTTGTAGAATGTAAATAACAATAGTTATGGTGTAGAGAATGGTTTAAGACCACCACGGGCTTGTAGTCATGTCTTCTGGCCTTTAGCTTAGCTTCAGGGTCAGGGTTAGTACGTTGGTTCTTCCTCGGCCGCTCACCTGGTTGTATCCCTGCTGGTTGTATTCGGGTTGGTAGCCACCCTGGCTGCTGGCATACGGGTCTTGTTCATACGCCCCCTGCTGGCCATAGGCGTCAGGAGCAGGTTTATCCTGGGGAGGCGGAGCCCGCATGAAGGGGGCTATGATCCCCGTCTCCTTGAAGACGAACCAGAGGTTTCCCAGCCAAAGGATCAGATTGATGAAGCCGAATGCCTGAAAGAGGAGACGAGGAAGGTCTCTGAGGACAGAACGGCCCGACTGTTTGACTCACAAAAAGTTATTCTTCTAGAACCGTTTTACCTACAAAAGAGTTATGTGATGATGAATGACCTGCACTTGTGTGGCACCTTTCAGAGTCAGAGGACTCCAGAGCGCTTTACAACTACTTCATTCATTCATCCATTCACACGCTACGATGTAGCTACAGCTGTCCTGGGACGCAACGACAGCGGCGAGGCTGCCGAGCACAGGTGCTGCAGGTCCCTCCGACCACCACCAGCAGGTAAGGTGGGTTAAGTGCCTTGCCCAATGACACAACAGAAGAATTCTATGTCCGGAAGCGGGATCGAACCTGCAACCTTCTGATTACAGGACAACCCGCTGCTGCTCTAAATGCACCCACACACAGGATGTATGAGCTGGGGGATTTGACCCTGATGCGTTGGGTGCAGGTCAGCTCTTACCACTGACGTGTTGAGTCCAGACATCACCGGGTCGTGAACTTCATGGCACCTGTGTATCTTCTCTTCACAGGCTTTAATCATAGTGACGACCTCGTCTGGATTTGTTGCTGTCTTCACGTCGGACAGACCTTTAGCCCAGGCTGCGGAACTCACGAGCCACATGAAGGCAAAAACTCCGGTCACTCCGAGGTCCTGGAACAGCACAGAGATCCAGGTCAGGCATCCTCCCCATTCTCACGTTCTCACACCAGCACCATCGCATGTCGGTTTTGAATGATTACATCTCATGCTGTTACCAACCGAGATGAGAAAGAAAACAGCATCTCAGCTGAGTCACATGATGTCACTCACAATCAGAGGGCCTTTGTTGTTCTCCTTGTACTTTTCATAAAAGAAGATGTAGATGGCGAGAGCAGCTGTGGAGTAGAGGAAGGCGAACACACCGATAGTGACGAAGAATTCAGCTGAAGAAGAGTAGTCGCCAACCAGGAAGACTCGTTCCTTGCTCCCGTCCGTACAGGTGGGGGCGTCGAAGTACACCTGATGGAGTCTGGGAGGAGAGACGGCCAGGATTGGTGGAGAGCAAACGTGTGACAAAAAAGTACATAAGGTCATCTGTCCATCCATCCATCCATTTATCAATCCATCCATCCATCCGTCCATCCATCCATCAATCCATCCATCCATCCATTTATCAATCCATCCATCCATCCATCCATCCATCCATTTATCAATCCATCCATCCATTTATCAATCCATCCATCCATCCATCCATCCATTTATCAATCCATCCATCCATCCGTCCATCCATCCATCAATCCATCCATCCATCCATTTATCAATCCATCCATCCATCCGTCCATCCATCCATCAATCCATCCATCCATCCATTTATCAATCCATCCATCCATCCATTTATCAATCCATCCATCCATCAATCCATCCATCCATCCATCCATCCATCCATCCATTTATCAATCCATCCATCCATCCGTCCATCCATCCATCAATCCATCCATCCATCCATTTATCAATCCATCCATTCATCCGTCCATCCATCCATCAATCCATCCATCCATCCATCCATCCATTTATCAATCCATCCATCCATCCATTCATCAATCCATCCATCCATCCGTCCATCCATCCATCCATCCATCCATCCATTTATCCATCCATCCATCCATCCATCCATCCATCCATTTATCAATCCATCCATCCATCCATCCATCCATCCATCCATTTATCAATCCATCCATCCATCCATCCATCCATCCATCCATCCATCCATCCATCAATCCATCCATCCATCCATCCATCCATCCATCCATCCATCCATTTATCAATCCATCCATCAATCCATCCATCCATCCGTCCATCCATCCATCCATCCATCCATTTATCAATCCATCCATCCATCAATCCATCCATCCATCCATCCATCCATCCTTCTCTCCATCCATCCATCCATCCATCCATCCATCCATCCACCATCCATCCATGCAACCATCCATCCATCTGTCCATCCATCCATCCATCCATTCATCCCTATGCGAGTCATTTTTTCTGATACAGTCATATCTATCTGAGGTGTCTACCATTAGGATCGCATGCTACCACCATTACCAAAACCGATCACATTATGGTCACATGGAACCATCCAACCAAAATCCTGGAAAAGTGGTTTATAACAGTGTCTTGAACTGGATGTTTGAATCCTGTCTGTCCAAGGTCCACCCCATTACCCAACCCAACTCATCTTAAGGTGAACACTTCTCAAATGCCTAAGACGTCCTGTGACAGATCCAATGTTTCCATCCTGTCACCTTGTTCCTCATGCACTCATTAACAGTCATGGCGTTTATCAACAAACCATAGTTAGCATGGAGCTCCAGCAACAAAATAACTCCTGACTCCAGATGTGTTAAAATCTTCCCATCTGGAGCACCTTCCAGATCACCACCCACAGTCTCTAGAAATGGTTTTTACTCTAAACCGTTGCTAGGTGTAGACCGGGCCACCCTGGTCCTGGAGCGCCGCAGTCCTACACGTTTTCCAGCCATGCATGAACCTAATTGGCTGAACACACCTGATCCAGGTAATCAACAGCAGGAACAACAAAGATAGTTGGAAAACAAGCAGGACTGCAGCTCTCTAGGACCAGGGTTGCTTACCCCTGGGGTAGAAGCACCCCAGCCAGAGATGCCGGACAAACACCTCTCCTCTAGGGTGACTCCAGAACCAGTTAGAGACCAGTGCTTCTGTTGGACACTGGTTCCAGAATCCTAGTTTTGGGTCTGGGTGAGGAGGGTGGTTTCCTGTAATCTATGGGATATACCCAGCTGGACCATTTGGATAAAGACATGCCAGCCATTAAATGGGCTATGGCATCATGGCTGGCCCCCAAACCACCCCCCTAGGAGACCCACCTAGGACACTTTCATATCCCACATGATGGCAACAACCCACGGGGCCTTCAACAAGCTTAATTAGGTTTAATCAATAAATCAGAACAAGGTGCAGACAGACTGAATGTTACAACACACACCAGCATACCCTGTAAGGTCCAAAGATGTGAAAGATTCTGACCTGAATGGATATTCAAACTGCACCTCCACACCAAGGTCGCTGTCCGTTCGGTTCTTACACTCCACGGCCATCTTGAACATCCCAGAATAACTGCCACAGGTGGAGAAGGCAAAGATGGCAAAAAACTGGAGGAAAAGGAAGAAAACCAGAGTTAAAGAGACACAACTCTTCCCAAATGTCCCACAAGAAAAGTAGGAAACATAAATGAGAGGGATGGCGATGAAGCCGCTGAGATCTGTGGTCGTTGTCCTGGCGGGGCAGAAGCTCTCTGATAACCAGGGATTAAACAAATTCACATCAAGTTAATTTTAAACTCAAATTAATTTATTGACAAACAAAATAATGACAACATGTAGCTGAAGAATAGAGGATATCTAGCTCTGGTTTTGGGTTTAGTTCAGCCCGACCTGCCTGTCCATCTCCTGCTGCCTCCGTCTCTCTCATGAAAAAACCCACGTGGCTCTTTCCCGCTAGCATCAGCTCCACTCCGCCCCAGTCAGCCCAGCCTGGCCCAGGAATGCAGTCAGAGAAGTTCTCCGCTCCTATGTAATCAGCACGATAATGCCGTTAGCCCAGGTGGGCCAATCGGAGGCTTCCCCTAATGGAAGGTGTGAGTTTGAGCCGGCTTATCAGTCAGCAGTGGGTGTGTTGGCCCTGGTCGGCCTGAAGCAGACCACCTCAGGAAGAGGGCTGAAAAACAGTCCGGTTGCACCCTGAAAAAAGGCAGGCTATGCTAATGTGAACACTCCCTATGCTATCCAGGTTGAGTGGAGCTGATGCTAGTGTGAAAGTCCTCCACTGGAGGAAGGACCTCCCCCTCAGACCTGCAGCTACCATGGACCTGACTCACACTCCCTTGATACCGGGAGCTGAAGACCACCTTGACAGATTCTTCCACCAGAGGTTCCCAGCAGACCCTTGATAGTCGCTTGGACCTCCCGGGTCTACGTGGTGTCCTCCCCTGCCATCGGATCCAACTCAACTCCAGGTGGAGATCAGCTAACAGCTTCACTCTACACTCGTGTCCTAAACAAGCAGCAGCAGGTCAGATGATTCAAGCTGCTCTGGTGCCACACATACCGATGGGCATCTTCATCATCAAACATGGCCGATCTGGGACCTGCACACAAGTCCAATAACAGGACATCGCAACCACGGCATTGGCTGTATTTATGAGAGGAAGTCTCCGGTCTGACCCGGTAACCTGCTCCCACATGGTTCTTTCTACACAAACATGGACCAGAACCGTGCATGGATTAAAATCCCTCCCACAGAGATTTTAAATCTGGTTAAATAAAATTAATCCTTTTGGGTCAGAACCAGCTTAGATGTGTTAAAGCATCAGTTTATTTCTATGTAGGCGATTTCAAATGTAAGTAACACACCTTAAGGGTGGAACCCGTGTGTGTGTGTGTGTGTGTGTGTGTGTGTGTGTGTGTGTGTGTGTGTGTGTGTGTGTGTGTGTGTGTGTGTGTGTGTGTGTGTGTGTGTGATAAACTCACCCATTCTAAGACCTTGATGAAGCCCAGAGGAACCTTCAGAACCCTGAACTGGCCCTGGGCCACCAGCTGGAAAACAGTAACAGAAGGATCCGAGTCGTCATCAGAACCCTGTTGGGTCGTTTTAGACAGTTTTAATCTGCAGGTGTTTAGTTTGGCTCTCATAGCACCTGGTAAGCATCATGTTTATTAATTATGTCATTTGTTTACTGAAACAAACAAACTGTTGAAGGAGACCCGACCCATTGGGCCTCTGGGTGGTACTGCTCGTCCACCCTGATGGAGCCTGCTGCAGTTCAGGAGTCAGATGGAAGGCGTGTGATTGGTTACGAGTCAACACAAACAAAAGTATAGTTGGAGCATTAAGCAGACTCCGCCCACTTGAGTCGTTCAGGTGTGTAGCTGATCCAGAGGACTCAAGCTGTACAGTAGTGGGTCTAGTAGTGGTTCTGACCCGGCTCCAACACATAGAAGAGGGGTTTTAACCGGTGTCAGAAAAATAACACAAACAATCAGACCTTCAGCCCATCTCCAGGTCCGAGGCCTGGTCCAGATCTGGGGCCTGGTTCAGATCCAGGTCTGGGCCTTGGTCCAGATCCAGATCCGGGCCTTGGTCCAGATCCAGGTCCAGGTCTTGGTCCAAATCCAGGTCCAAGGCCTGGTTCAGATCTAGGCCCGGGCCTTGGTCCAGATCCAGGTCCAAGGCCTGGTTCAGATCCAGGTCCGAGGCCTGGTTCAGATCCAGGTCCGGGCCTTGGTCCAGATCCAGATCCAGGCCTTGGTCCAGATCCAGGTCCGAGGCCTGGTTCAGATCCAGGTCTGGGCCTTGGTCCAGATCCAGATCCGGGTCTTGGTCCAGATCCAGGTCTGAGGCCTTGTTCAGATCCAGGTCCGAGGCCTGGTTCAGATCCAGGTCCGGGCCTTGGTCCAGATCCAGATCCGGGTATTGGTCCAGATCCAGGTCTGAGGCCTTGTTCAGATCCAGGTCCGAGACCTGGTTCAGATCCAGGTCCGGGCCTTGGTCCAGATCCAGATCCGGGTCTTGGTCCAGATCCAGGTCTGAGGCCTTGTTCAGATCCAGGTCCGAGGCCTGGTTCAGATCCAGGTCCGGGCCTTGGTCCAGATCCAGATCCAGATCCAGACCTTGGTCCAGATCCAGGTCCGAGGCCTGGTTCAGATCCAGGTCCGGGCCTTGGTCCAGATCCAGATCCAGGCCTTGGTCCAGATCCAGGTCCGAGGCCTGGTTCAGATCCAGGTCTGGGCCTTGGTCCAGATCCAGATCCGGGTCTTGGTCCAGATCCAGGTCTGAGGCCTTGTTCAGATCCAGGTCCGAGACCTGGTTCAGATCCAGGTCCAGGCCTTGGTCCAGATCCAGATCCGGGTCTTGGTCCAGATCCAGGTCTGAGGCCTGGTTCAGATCCAGGTCCGAGGCCTGGTTCAGATCCAGGTCCGGGCCTTGGTCCAGATCCAGATCCAGGCCTTGGTCCAGATCCAGGTCCGAGGCCTGGTTCAGATCCAGGTCTGGGCCTAGGTCCAGATCCAGATCCGGGTCTTGGTCCAGATCCAGGTCTGAGGCCTTGTTCAGATCCAGGTCCGGGCCTTGGTCCAGATCCAGATCCGGGTCTTGGTCCAGATCCAGGTCTGAGGCCTTGTTCAGATCCAGGTCCGAGGCCTGGTTCAGATCCAGGTCCGGGCCTTGGTCCAGATCCAGATCCGGGTCTTGGTCCAGATCCAGGTCTGAGGCCTTGTTCAGATCCAGGTCCGAGGCCTGGTTCAGATCCAGGTCCGGGCCTTGGTCCAGATCCAGATCCAGATCCAGACCTTGGTCCAGATCCAGGTCCGAGGCCTGGTTCAGATCCAGGTCTGGGCCTTGGTCCAGATCCAGATCCAGATCCAGATCCAGGCCTTGGTCCAGATCCAGGTCTGAGGCCTGGTTCAGATCCAGGTCCGGGCCATACCGCTAAAAGCAAAACAAGTGACGTTAACACTTTATCAACGTTCTCAGCAACTATTAAGTGTAAACGGCCTTCGTAGGGTCCTACAACCCCCCAAGGCGCTTCACAACACAGTCAGTCATTCACACGCTGGTGGTGATGAGCTACGATGTCGCCACAGCTGCCCTTGGACGCGCTGACAGAGGCAAGGCTGCTGAACACAAGGCAGGTTAAGTGTCTTGCTCAAGGACACAACAGCAGCATTCGGAGCTGGAATCAAACCTGCAGCCTTTCAATCACTGGACAAGCAGCTTTACCTGCTGAGCTGCTGTCCCTGGCCTGGGGCGACGGGGTGTCTGCTTACTTTAGTAAATCATTTATTAAGGCCTAATAATGCACTAAGTAATGTTAATAAAGGGACTGTTGTTGTCCAAGAGTGGATCAGCAGGATCTTAAACCCAGGTTCCACCACAGCCTGGTCCAGAACTCCTGACCCAGTTTTCATCTCCTCCTGTTCTCCTGCCAGTAGTCAAGACTTCCTGTAGTGCTCTGGGTTCCTCTGGGTCTGCTGAGGCTCTAGACTCAGATCCAGATCCGCACCTCTAATGGTCTTTGATCAGACCTGGAGGTCCAAATGTTCTTAAAACCCGTTCCTAGAGAGCCCTGCTGAAAAACCCAGCATGTGTTGTGTAGATGCTCATCCAGCATCCAGTTCTGGACCAGTCCAGTGTTGCTGCGGATCCACCAGCTACACCAGCACCAACATGCTGGTCCATGCTGGGTTTTTCCCAGCAGGGAGTTCCCGAACCCAGACCAGAACCCAGCCTCCAGAACCTAATATTAATGCTGGTTGATTTAGGCGTGAAACCTGGTTCTGATCCAGAATATGCAGGACGGAGTGGTGGTCCGAAATCTCTGGTTACCTTTGGGTTCTCTGTTGAATCGTTGACGTCATTTCCGCTCTAACAGCTGTTGGGTTTATTTCAGGTTCGGTTAATTCTAAAGGAACCGGTTCGGCCCTCTGGCTCTGGGCTGTTCAAAAACGATGCTGGATGCCCAATCTCGAGTCTGCAGAACCCGGGTCCACCGTGATGGTCCGGACCAGGTCTGCGTCCACCAGAACCAGAACCAGAACGTTTCAGCACAACGTGATGAGACAGAAAACAGCTGAAGCGTCTCAGTTCTGAAGGATCTGTTGGGTCTCAACCGGGTTCAGGACCACAAACCAGACCAGATTCGGTTCAACCCAAATCAACATCCCGACCCCCCCCCCCCCCCCCCCCACACACACACACACACACGCACACCACCGAGCCCCCCTCCGCGGACTGCCATTTTATCACCGCGCGCACGCGCTCAGAATATGTTCGTGTCATCAGCAAAACCCAGTTTAGTTTGAATTTTCATCCTGCAGAACCGAACCCCACCCAGCACCGGAACCGGGATGTGGTCTCGGCCCGCAGCTTAATGAAAAAACCGCATCCATCCTCCCGCCACCTGACGCACGGAGCTGCAGAACCCGAACAGAACCGAGCCTGGACCGAACCCAGAACTGGCCAGGGGAATAAAATATGGAGCAAGGAGGTACCTGGTTTGCAACGTCCATCCTGCTCCGGAACCGAGGAGAGAAGAGATGGAGGAGAGATGGAGCGGGGGAGGGAGGGAGGAGAGATGGAGAGAGGGAGGGAGGGAGGAGAGATGGAGGGGGGGGGGCGGTAGGTGGGAGGGGGGATGAGATGGGGGGGGGGGGGCGCTAGAGGACAGGAGTGGGTGGGTGAGAGAGGAGGAGAGATGGAAGCATAAAGGGGAGGGGCACATGACGACATTCATAAATCACGTGACTCTGGAAGCAACACATCATCTATTAGAGCTTTAATCAATAATCAGGTTAATTCTGAACCAGTCCCAGCTGAACTGGACCCGTTCCACTATTTTTGTAATTATGTAAACTTTTATTTTGTGTCTCTATTTACTTCCTGTTTTACTTTGTAGACCTTTCATCCTCAAGATCTACTTCCTGTCACTGTTTTCCTGATCCCTTTCTGTTCCTTCCTCATCTTCATCAGCTGTTTCTTGATTCGTTAGGTTGGAACTGACCCAACCGGGTCAGTACCAGGTTGGTACCGGGCCGAAACAGAAAAACCCACAAAGGTTCTGAAATCATTTAAGTTTGAAAGAAATGAAAAATGACCGAAAATCAGGGTTTAGCTTTAGTCCTGTTCAGTGATCATGTCTACCAGGTGTGGTGGTGCCAGGTGCGGTCCCACGGTCCCAGAGGAGCTGGTGGACTTCATGCTGACGGTTCTGGTTTTAGCACCAGACGTTACTCCTTAAAACCAGCAGAGGTCCTCAGAGTCCAGCTCAGGTGCGTTGAAGGCTTCACGCCATCCTGCTGGTTCTGTCAACTGAAGTAGAACTTCCAGAGCGGACCAGAGCCCTCCTGGGTTTGGATCAGTACCTTCACAAGGGGTACAGCCTTTATAAACATAGATGGCCACTTCCGTTGGGTCCACGGTGGTTTTTGTTGTCCAGGAAAATAAGTTCAGTGTTTCAGTCTGAAGCAAGTCTACAGAACCAAAGTGGACCCTGGATGGAATGACCCAGTCTGGGTCAAATCTGAATCTGGCAGTTGTCACGGCAACAGCTGGTGATGTTTAAACACAGACGAATCCGCTGCTTCAAGACTTTATTGGAAACAAACAAGTATTTCTGGTCAGGAAACGAGCCCTTTGAACCGGTTCAAACAAACACACGGGCCCAACAGAACCGGGTCGCTCCCATCGGAACATCAGAAGAGTGAACAAAAATGACAAATGTGTTTAAAACGTCCCTCCTCGAAAATATTTACAATTAATTAAAACACGAATATTTGTAAAAAATAAAATAAAAAAAATCAAGTAAAACAAAAACAAAGTCAAACAAATAAATTTAAAAGGTAAACATGAAAATAAAAAAGTTCTTCAGCAGATCTCAGGTCAGCAGCAACAAAACCCTCCAGGTGCGTCCGACCTTCAGAGCTTTAAAAAAACTGTAAATATCATTTTCCCTAATTTCATTTCTAAGAAAAGCTAAAAAAAAATTATACGTCAATTTAAATCTGAATTATACAAAATTATCACAACAATTTTAAATTTTGTGAAATTTTCTGAAATTCTACTAAAAAATTATATTAGAAAAAGTTTGTTTTATTTTATAAAACTGCAGGAGTTTGTGGAGAAAGGCTGGAATCAGTAAAGCAAGATTAAACTCCGCCTCCCTTCTGTGATTGGTTACGTTTCAGGATGTGATTCCAGTGGAAGGTAGAAGCCTCGCCTCCATCTTCTGCATCTCTGACTGGTCAGAATGACGTCACACAGGCCATCTCGTCAGCCAGCTCCTCCTCCTCGCGGTTCGTCCTGATTGGCTCGTCGTCGCTGTACAGCGCCGCTGGGTCGTCTGCAATGGTGCCGAGGAAGTCGTGGCTCCCGGAGCTCAGCAGGTCGCTCGCTGCAGACTCCATCTCATCCACTGTCATGTGACACGCATCTGCAATCTCCCGCTTCGCGAATGCCACGAACTTTGGGTCTCGGGCGTAAAGACCGAGTCCTTCTGAGATCAGAACCTGCAGTGAAACCAGCATTGGTTACTGGTCTCCGTGGAAACACCACCAGGGAGGTTGTGACGGTGCTCCGGTGACTCACCGCCTCCACTAGGCTGTCTGCTGATCCTCGTTTCTCCGTGAAAGGAGCACCAAGCTGAGACGGAACTCTGAGGGTGGTGTACGCTCGGTACGGGGGCGGAGCTGCAACACAGTCACATGACACGTTCAGACAGGAAAAAGACTGTCGTGCTTACCAACTGGATTTGTTCCCACCTGATGTCCCTGCAGGGCCACTGTACCACGCCGGTCTGTCTGCTGCACCTGCAGGATCACAGGAAGCTGTAAGCTCGACTTTCACAATAAAAGTTGCCCTTTTTGTTTTACAAGTCTGTCCTCACCTCGTCCTGCTCCTCCTCTCTTCCCCTCACCCCCTGGGCCTCCATCCCGCCCCCACGGAGGGCTGCCCTCCTCCTCAACCAGGATGAGAGGAGCATAGAGGAGGCGGCCACGGCGAGGACACGGCTTTGCCCAGGAAGTCGAGGAGGCTGCTGAGGAGCCTCCGGATGAGTGGTGGGAACTGTACGCCTGGTGAGTGGGGAAGAGAGGGGAGGTTACCTGAGGACCAGGTGTGTGTGGAGTCACTCTGTGTGTGTGTGTGTTACTTGAGCACGGCGTGGGGGTGATGTTGGGTGGTACGTCCCGGGAATGGGCAGGTCATCACTGCTGCCCTGCCGCCTTAGACACTGAATGTTGAAGGACGGTTTCCGACCTGCAGAGAAAAACAAACCCAACCAGTCAGATGTTGGTGCCATCACCAAGAACTTAGAACTCGGAAGAACCTTTAAGATGCAGAACGTAGTAAAACTGAGCTGGACCATATTGCATAAGGAGACAGGAGGATACGGTATGGGGCCTTTGTCCTTCGCATGATGGTAGAAGGTAAAGATCAGTGAGTTGTGACGAGGCCTTGTTCGGCCTAGAAGGTTGGTAGGAGCTGATGTGTGGTGTATTCAAATGAGTAGACCGCTGGAGAGGACACTGGGACCTTCCGATGTTTGATGTGAACCATTGGGAGATGAAGAGCAAGGATGGCAGTAGTAAACAAACCCCGATGGAATGGTGAAACGAATCCAAGATGGTTGCCAAGTTACAGTGGAACTAAGAGAGTCTAACTGGTGGTGGCAGAGGAGATACTGGATGAGGTGACCCTCGCTCGTGAGCAAACGATTGTTTCATCACCCAAAGGTAGTGGTGGTGTGAGCATGGTTAACCCTCTCAGGTCTCCTTGTGGGACCTATGGGGTCGGCTGGGGATCAGGACTGAGTGACAGCTCCATGTCCACAGGGGCGCATCCAGAAAATTTTGATAGGGGGCCAGATGGGGCCAAAGACATTTTTGGGGTGGCACACCAAATTGGTCCTTGTGGTAACTCTGGTTGAATTTAGTCTGTGGTGATGTGCTGCATTGCGCCTTCATTCGTTTTTATTAAAATAACTGTACGTATAAATGTTACCAACACAAACACTTCAGAAAAATACATTTCAGTTATTTAAAATGTTACCCGTAATGAAATTTCAAAATGTTTTTTTGGGTTAATTCACCTGTTGCTGTGCTAAAAACAAACTATGGAGATAAAAACTTTTTTTAAATGGTGAGCAGCAGAAACGTATGTATTTTCTAGGGCTGGCCATGGCCACCCCTGGCCACCCCTTTGGGGCGCCCTTGCTCGGGGCAGGGCTACACATAGAGATCTGGCTGAGTGTGTTTACTCTGGAAACTCGAGCATCACAAACAACAAAACAGAAGTTAAGAAGAGACAGGAAGAGTAAAACACCAGACGAGACCCAGTTCAGTGCAGGTCTCACCTGTGGGCGTGGCAGGAAGCAGGCGTCTGCGGGTGGTTCTTCTGCTACTGCTGAAGCTGCTACCATAGCTGCTGTTGGTGTAGGGGGAGGGGTCATCGTAATGGTCCCTGATCTCATCAGGATAATGTCTGCAAACACACACGTGTGCAAGAAGCCAAGCTGAAGACAAAGTAGTGTAAAGTTTGTTGTCGTGAAACTCAAAGAACATGAAAAACAATTAGAGTTTAACGAGACCCCCCCCCCCCCCCCCCCACACACACACACACACACCTGTCTCTGGAGGTGATGCTCTCGTTGTCCTCCTCTCTGCTGGTGTAACCCTGCTCCCCGTACGGCTCCAGATCTCCGTTCCTCCAGGACTGGTCTCTGGAGTCCCTCCTGCGGACCAACAGGTTACGTCAAACTTTGATCTTCAGGATGAATCCTGGTTCTGGTTGTCTCTCCTGATGGATCTGATTGAACGGGATCCTGAAACACCCAGATCTCTCTCACCTTCCATGTTTGTAGTGTGACGGTCTCTTGTGGACATGGTCCAGCAGGCCGTTCTTCACAGAGGAGCGCCGATGGCGATTCACTGATGACCTCAGACTGTCTCCACGATGAAGATGCTCCTCGTGTTCGTTCCTATTCACCGTCTTGGTGAGTGAGCCCACTCGATGGATCAGACCACCATTAGAGGCGCCGCTATCACCTGTAAAGGTGAGTCACACATGCTGGAGAGATCCGGCTCCTCTGATTGGTCTGAGCTGATCTCTCGTTTCAGCTTAGGTGAAAACATTTTTATTCTAGAGGCCAAACTTGAATGAACTCATGAGGGATTTACGGCTGAGGTGAGTCACCCCTCAATCCCAGATTATAAATGAGGTTCATGTTTCTGAAGCTCTTGAGCTGCAGGAGCAAAGGTGCTTCCTTTATGCTGATGCAGATCAGAATCTTCCCCAGCAGTCATGCTAATAATCTGATTTGTTTTTGGAGGAGGATTATTGGTTTAGTGGATTTTATTTACCAGAAGGTGTCAGCATGGAGCCGCGCCGGGTCTCCGCTCCAAATCCGTTTTCAGCCTTCAGACACAGAGAAAACCGAAACGTTATCCTGCCTTCCCACTGCCCGTTGTTATGGAGAACAGCTGATATGGCAGCACCTTATAAGATAAGTTCTCCGCCATTTCGTCCTCCAGCATGGCCTCCTCCTCTTCCTCCTCCTCCTCCTCCTCCTCCTCCTCCTCCAGGTCTTTGTTCAGAGCCAGACGCATCTCTGGGCCCAGATCCTGCAGAGTCTTCAGACCAGCTTTACAGAGCTGCAGGGATAAACGTTTACAGAACCGTGTGTTCTTAAAGGAACCTTCAGCCTCACACCAAGCTCACTAACAGTGATTGGCTGACTGGCAAGAAACATGGGCCAATCAGAAAGCTCGTTTTTGGGTTTAAACAGAGACACGGAGCGTGTTCCATCAGGTGGACCAAGGAGACGCGCCAAACTCCACGAGAAAGACATGGTAAATGGTAAATGGCCTGTATTTGATATAGCGCCTTCTAGAGTCCTGGAACCCCCCAAGGCGCTTTACAACACAATCAGTCATTCACCCATTCACACACACATTCACACACTGGTGGGGATGAGCTACGATGTAGCCACAGCTGCCCTGGGGCGCACTGACAGAGGCGAGGCTGCCGAGCACTGGCGCCACCGGTCCCTCCGACCACCACCAGCAGGCAAGGTGGGTTAAGTGTCTTGCCCAAGGACACAACGGCAGCGACAGACTTAACGGGGCTCGAACCTGCAACCTTCCGATTACGGGGCGAGCACTTAACTCCTGTGCCACCGTCGCCCCTAGACGAACCAAACAAGACAAAACCCGGACAAAAATGTACTCGTGTGATCACCCCCAGAACCATCAGCACCTGGTGAGGAGGAGGAGCTACAGACAGGTAACACTGAACCAGAGACACAACCCTAACCCAGCAGACTGATGGACGGATTTACAGACCTGGACAGCAGACGGGTTGGGGGACTCGGACTCTACGGCTAAAGCCCCCTTTTCCTTCCTCTTTCTGAACTTCCTGAAATAATCCTGGATCAGGAAAGTTGCATAAAACTTCCCAACAGTGACTTCCTCCTCTGCAGGCAGAGAGACGCCGAGTCAGCAGGTAGAAACTCAAGTACAGTTAATATAGTACAAGTACCAGCTGCCTTACAATAACAGTTACAGTGTAGTCTTGGTGTCCAGCAGCATCAGTAGTATTAGTACTAGCTGGTGTACAGCAGCAGCAGTAGTATTAGTACTAGCTGGTGTCCAGCAGCATCAGTAGTATTAGTACTAGCTGGTGTACAGCAGCAGCAGTAGTATTAGTACTAGCTGGTGTCCAGCAGCATCAGTAGTATTAGTACTAGCTGGTGTCCAGCAGCAGCAGTAGTATTAGTACTAGCTGGTGTCCAGCAGCAGCAGTAGTATTAGTACTAGCTGGTGTCCAGCAGCATCAGTAGTATTAGTACTAGCTGGTGTCCAGCAGCATCAGTAGTATTAGTACTAGCTGGTGTCCAGCAGCATCAGTAGTATTAGTACTAGCTGGTGTCCAGCAGCATCAGTAGTATTAGTACTAGCTGGTGTCCAGCAGCATCAGTAGTATTAGTACTAGCTGGTGTCCAGCAGCATCAGTAGTATTAATACTAGCTGGTGTCCAGCAGCATCAGTAGTATTAGTACTAGCTGGTGTCCAGCAGCATCAGTAGTATTAGTACTAGCTGGTGTCCAGCAGCATCAGTAGTATTAGTACTAGCTGGTGTCTAGCAGCATCAGTAGGATTAGTACTAGCTGGTGTCCAGCAGCATCAGTAGTATTAGTACTAGCTGGTGTCCAGCAGCATCAGTAGGATTAGTACCTTCATGGGGGGGGATGACTTCGTCCAGCAGCTTCGG